TTTTCCAGTGGCGCCATCTATGGCCAAGAATTCGACTTCTGCCACACCCGTTCATAGGGTGGACCCATTCATTCATCCACAGATCGTAATTTTGACCTGAATCAGAGAACGATCAATCTCCAATTCAGCCCCCCCAGAGGTATAATTTATTATGGGAACATGGAGGACTTTGTGACCTGACAGATTTAACGTGTACATGTCACCAATTACTACACGGGAAGTCTTCGACCTGCAGGGATTGAACCCACGACCCTTTAAAGTAAATAATGTTCAACAGACAAACATAATTCTATATTCATGAATTTGGTTACATTTATTTTCAAATGACAATTTTAATGAGAAATACTGATTGATTTTTTTTCTTTATAAATTCATATCCTTTTCATAATTTATTCATTATGTATTGTTATGGATATTCTTTTTTTTTTTTTTTTAATTTTTGCTTATTACTTTTTCGCTGGCATTTTATTTCAAAAATTTCCTAGAAGTAACCAAATTGTTAAATAAATTATGAATTATTTATAAATATAATTATAGGTTTCAGAAATCATAACTTGTTAGTAAAAAGAGAAAAAAAAACATAATTCTAAGAATCCTTTTAAACCTTCTTTTGACTCCAGTCAGGTAATCATATACTCTAAGTACAGTCATACAGCGCTACAGTGAACACTGTTTATAGTGAACTCCCGGATATAGTGAACGAAATGTTCCCTCCCGTGCCTTGCTACACACAATAATGTAATTTTTTGTAGATGTAGTGAACCAGAATAAGAGAGGAAGTAAGATATTATGAACATTTTTTCTGTCTTCGACTGATTTATTTTCTTCATTTTTTTGTAATAATTTTGAAATTTCTACTTCAAAATAAATACATATACCGATTTTTATTACCATCTACAATATGGAATGTAGCAATAAGCATTTTTCTTGTTTGCTTCTTTACTGAACAGCATTATTGAATTGATTCAGCATTCAAAGAAACCGCAATTTTCCAGTATCTGGACAAATGCTTCAAGTCAAAGACGATGAATTTTCTAAGCGACTGGGTGAGATTACTTTTATGTACTCAAATGAATGGTTAACCAGGTTTGAAAACTGGAAAAAAACATACATTCAGGAAAAATTTTCGGAGAGTGGTGAAGTGTTTCCATATCTGATGTGGAGGATTGCACATCAGCTTAAGATTGCTATTTTTTTTGTACGCAAGGCGAAGAATAATTAAAAATAAAAGTTAACACATTTTTGTTGCTACGCATTATTTTTCAGTCATTTTTGTATTTCATTTTATGGGTCATTTATTTAAATAATGTGTAGTAAAAGTTTGGAAAGATTAATTAAAATTGCTTGCGGAACGGATATAGTGAAGTCCCGGTTATAGTGAACAAAAATTTCGGTCCCTTAAAGGGTCACTATAGCGGGGTTTGACTGTATTAGAGATAAAAGAGAGAGACATTAAAGCAAAATATACTTACCTCTCTAAAGAAGCCATGCTGCAAATCCGCGCTGCAGCATTAAAATCTGGTTGCGGTGGTGTTTTTCCCGGTTTCATTTCAGACATTGCTTACAATGATATTTCAATGGTACATAAAAAAAGCTTCTTTTTTATTGATTGAACACCATGCAATCTGAAGAATGATTTGCTCCTAATGACATATTTTTGTTCGAGTCTTAAATCATTTTGCACTTCAAAAAAAAACGATCCAAAAATGTTTTTTTCTTCGCTAATTCAGAAACTATGAGCCGAAAGCAGAAAAATGCGCGATGTCCATATGTTCTCAAAAGTGAATTAGAAGAAACGGCCGCTCAGTCGAAACAAACAACGGAAACTTGAAATAGATCGCAAGAGGCAATAATGTCTTGTTGTTATGGTAACCGAACGCCTACACCTTATCGTCTGTTTGGGTTTCTTAAACAACGGATGCGAGACAAATAAAGTGCTTCTATTCAATTTCTATTTAGGAAGGAGTTTTATCTGTTTCGTTTACATCAATCCCCTATTCTATTTTTCATTCTGATTTTAGTATGTCTTCGCTAAAGTTCGAAGGACGTTAATATGCACATTTTCTAGTTAATCTAAAAAGATAATCCGTTAAAGTGCAGAATCAATTCCGCAATTTACCTTGGTGATAGCGGATTTGCGTATCATTACTGTTCAACAGTTCGTTTCTCTCATTCTATGAACACTCATTTGATACTATAGATACCGAAAAATAAATAAATAAAATTATGTTACTTTCCTTCATTGTAATCTACGCATTTGATTCTTAGTTTTTCAAAGTAATTGATTTTAATGTGTTGTTTATGTTGTTGTTTAAACACTTGATTCATAATTAGACCAAATTATTAGTAGCACTGTAGTGCTTTAATAATTAAATGTTTTGCACGAGTTTATAGGCAATATTTTTTTTTTATATAAACATACATGTAGTGGGTTTCAATTCAGGAGACTTTTTATATACTTCCCATTTGTATTTATGTCTAACGTATTGCATTACAATGTTAAGCGTAAACAGAAGCGTAAACAAATGCAAACCGGTTTCATCCGAGCAAAAACAATAAAGCTGTATAGTATCACCTAATAATTATAATTTTACATAGAATCTTATAGTGCGTTTAATAATTTGGCCAGGGCTCTAATAATTTGACTCTCATATCACCAAAATTAAACAAATCACAAAACCGCTGTATGCTTACGTAACAAAGTTTACTATCTCTCGATTTTTGCTTTAACTTAGTTTTATTTACTGTCGTAATCCACTTTTAAAATTAAACTCTTAAGTTTAAGCAAATTTAATGCTCTAACACATTTTAAAACTTGTTAAGTAATGCTAAATGTTCCTTTGTGTTTTCTTTTTGTTGTTCTAACCCGTAACCTATGAGACTCATACAGAAATTTTTTCCAACATTTTTCTTTCTCCAGATTTAGCTTTTATTTCAAGCTATAAAATTTCCCAAGCTTAAAGTTTGGTTTCCTAAGCAGAACGCGTCCTCTGTATACGACACCTAGTATACATAAATTCATACTGTAGTAAATAATTTATTTGCAGTTGTTATCAAGCATTAATGTTTGATTACTACTGTAATTTCCTGAAATCATCTTAGCAAATATGAATTTATTTTTATTTTTTATTGATGTTCTTGAAGATCTTGTTTTTGATTTTTAACTTTAATATCGGCGTGCAGAATGAAAAGGAAATGTTTCTTCTATTTGGTAGATCGGGGGGCGAACTTATTGCTCTATTCTGTTTCTGAAAACGGGGGTTGAACATTTCAATAACCGTTTGTTCTTCCTTCAGTGAATTTTCAAGAAATCAATCCTTTTTAAACACGCTGTAGTAATTTTTTTTTAAAAAAAAAATTTCTTAAAGTTTCAGTAAGAAAATCAATTTTGAAAAGATCAATAGTAATGAATTAACGATGGTACATAATATTGCTTGCATATATTGCAAAATATTATTATTAGGAAACAACAAGCATATATTGCAAAATATTTGGGAAACAATACGCAGTGCAAAATGTTCCCCAGAAAAATGGGAATCACCTTATAGGAAACTCAGGTGGCAGAGAACCATACGTACCATACGTCAAAAATACGGCAGAGAACCATACGTCAAAAATACGTACATTTGACCATTAAATTTTACTAAGGATTCATAAAATGTACGTAAAACTGAAACGGCGAGTTATATCAATAAATAGTTTAGAACAATAAATAGTTATCTAAAAAAACGTAACATTTTGCGTAAACAAATTTGTTCCTATTACGAATATTTTACCGACCTCTTTTTACTAGATCAGAATGAGTACGTTATTTTTACATATTTACGTCAAGTGTACGTCAAAATGTACGTAAATTGAAATGTCAAATTTTAGAAAATCCAAAAAAAAAAAAACAGAAAATTTGCGTCAATAAATTAGAACCGGAATTTAAATGGTAAATTTTCTTCGTCAATAACAGTAGAATACACAAAATCATTTTTACTAAATCTAAATACTAGATATTCTTTCGTCAATATTTCTTAAAATATACGAAAACAATCTTACTGAAGGGTAGTTGGATAAATCCATTCCGCAAAGAGGTCACAGTACCCAAAAAATTACAAAAATATCGACATTTTTTTTTAATGCTGATAATAAAACTTCAAACTATTTCAAATGCACTGAATAAAAATCATCTGTCTATCTAAATTTTTAAAAAAGTAATAAATGATTTTAGATTGCCTTAATACAGAAACTTGCTCAGCAGACATATTTTAAAGTGCGTTTACTCATAGATGATAATTTCGTGTTTTAATCTTAATTAAATCCCTAAGGAATTTTTTCTGTTTAATATAAAGTTTTGAAGTAAACTTTTTTATCTCAAGTATAATACACTTATTTAAACTGTGCATGGAATAAGCATTTTTTGAGGTAATACAATTTTTACAGCATGTTATATATACCGAACAGGAATTTTAACATTTTTGTTTTCTACTTTTTTACAAAATAATCTATAAAAAATATTCTAATTGATAGATCAACAAATGAATGCACAAAATTGTTAAGATGAATATTGTAAGAACTAAGAAGAAAAAATTTTTTTTGAAAAAATGTTCAAATAAAAAAGCTTTAAGGATTTAAAAATTTTGAATTTTGTCAATTTTTTTAAAAATTTAAAAAAAATTAAACAGTTTAATTATTTTTTGAAGATAAATTATTGATTATGAATTAAATGAGCATGTAAAGCATCCACAAAATAAATGATTATACCTTTATTTAAAAAAAATTATACCAAATATTACGCAAAATATACCAAAGCTTTTTTAGCCAAATATCTCAATGGTAACAATCATTACGGTAATATAACGTAAAATTTACGTATAAAGCGTTTTGACTTTACCAATTTTCCAAAATTTTAGGTTTAATTTAAGCATTATTCTACGTGGGTAGTGCTTACGTAAAGTAGAGATTTCACAATTTATATCCTCATTGTCTGATAGCAAATACGTAAGAATGCTAGGTTTGGAAATAAACTTAATAGATTTTAACATCCCTCCGAGATGAAGTCCTTAAAAGCTAAAGAAAGAGAGAGGACCTCCATTAGTGAGTTGCCATAGCAACAGCATCTGTAATGTCACAGTCGAGAAAGTGATTGAATAAACTTTGGGGATTCAAGAGAAATCAAGATTCTTATTTTTTATTTTTTTTAAATATTTATTTACTTATTTTTGCAGAAATTTTGAATGTTTATGTTACTGTGAATGACCGAAATTGTTGGTTGTTGACTGTTACCAGTGAATGCTGACAATTACAGAGTCGCTTTGGTAAATGCTCGAAATACAGTTAAACTCCGCTATAGTGAACTTTCAAGGGACCGAAATTTCTGTTCACTATAACAGGGAGTTCGCTATATCCGTACTGAAAATAACTTTTAACTAGTTTTTTTCCAAACTGCTCCCTTTTATTACGCATTTTTTTAAATAAATGACCCATAAAAGGAAATGTAAAAATGATTAAAAAAACAATATATTGCAACAAAAAATGTGTTAACCTTTATTTTTTATGACTCTTCGCCTTGCGTGCAAAAAATTTAGGGATGGCCTTTGTTTATGGATGGGAAACTGAGATAAAAGAAGCAAACAAGAAAAAAATACTTATGGCTGCATTCCCCTCAATCGATGGTTTTAAAAATCGGTATATGTATTTTATGTAGAAATTTCAAAATTACCAAAAAATGAAGAAAAAAATTAATCGAAGACAGAAAAAAGTTCATACTATCCAATTTCTTCTCTTGTTCTGGTTCACTAAATCCACACAAAAAAATATTATACGTGTGTAGCAAGGCACGGGAGCGAACATTTCGTTCACTATATCCGNAGTTCGCTATATCCGTACTAAAAATAACTTCTAACTAATTTTTTTCCAAATTGCTCCCTTTTATTAAGCATTTTTTAAATAAATGATCAATAAAAAGAAATGCAAGAATGATTAAAAAACAATATGTTACAACAAAAAATGTGTTAACTTTTATTTTTTATTGCTCTTCGACGTGCATGCAAAAAATTTAGGGATAACTTTTGTTTAGGGATGGGAAACTGAGATAAAAGAAGCAAACAAGAAAAAAATACTTATCCACTCAATAGATGGTTTTAAAAATCGGTATATGTAATTTGTGTAGAAATTTCAAAATTACCAAAAAATGAAGAAAAAAATTAATCGAAGACAGAAAAAAGTTCATAATATCCAATTTCTTCTCTTCTTTTGTTTCACTAAATCCACACAAAAAAATATTATACGAGTGTAGCAAGGCACGGGAGCGAACATTTCGTTCACTATATCCGGGAGTTCACTATAAAAAATGTTCACTATAACGGGGTTTGACTGTATATACTAGATCTAGTTAAGTGTCTTTGCCCGGTATACACTTGCCAGTATTTTCTACTCTTAAGTTTTAAGTTTCAGTGCCACTACCCGGTATGCTATACATCAATGTCTTTTTAAGGTTCAGTGCCACTACCCGGTATGCCCTACATCAATGTCTTTTTAAGGTTCAGTGCCACTGCCCAGTATGCATTTAACCGGTACTCCGAACCGGTTTCTCCTACTCTACCCTCAGCGGATATTAAAATATCGAATAAAATATAATAATATCAACGAATAAATTAATATCAAATCGGATATAACAAACATTTCGGACATTCACCAAAACGACTCTAAGATTGTTGACGTTCACCAGTGAAAGTCGACATTCTCTCGATTTCGGCTAATCACGGTAACATTTACATATTATAAAACTGAATTTCATTCAAAAAAAAAATTTTTTTATTTATGATTATTTATTTTAAAAATGATCAAGCATTTTTCAAACTGTGAAGAATAAAACTTTTTTTTTT